ACTACGTCTCAATGCTGCTACTCCATCTAGTGCCCCTGTTGAGAGGCTGTTCAGCCTGGGCAAACTTGCCTTCTCTCCTAAGAGGAACAGACTGTCTGACAAAAGATTTGAAAAGCTTCTCCTCCTACGTTACAACCATTGGTTTAGTTGTTAGATGAGAGGAGTATTTTAGTATATTATTGTATTGTTTAGTTTTACCAGGAACAAACATGTTCATTTACATACTTAAGTTAAGAGTCGGATAGCGTTGTTTACTGTGCAAAATTACAGATACAGAGATTTGCACTACCTAAGGGCCAGAGTTTTCTTTGTCTTTTTGCAAATAATTTTCTTAGCTTTGCTCTTTAACGGAAAGTGTGTGAACATAATTTATTTTCCATTGAAATTTTTTGTATATTTTTTTTATGCACTTGGCCAGCTGCAATCTTGTTGAGTTCAAATAAATGCCAACTGTTTGAATATACTGAATAAAGCTTTTTTATTCGTGACAGCGGGACATCCAGTAGGTCCACTCACCTGTTCACCGCTCAGACGTCACGATCTTCTACCGCTGTAACCTGTTCCTGATCATATCTTTAGTCCCGCTGTAACACTGGTTGCATCAGTCTGGAGCTCAGGTGTTATTAGAACTACCTGTATGTGTGTTTACCACCCAGCTTCAGCTCTTCTGTGGTTGGGTCTGACCCAAGTTAGTACATTTAAGTCCTCCATCAGATTTGTGCCTCTTCTAGTGTAATTTTAAAAGATATGTATTTATTTATTTTCTGTTCGTAGTTCCTCCTGTTAAGTGCTTATTTATTTAAATTATTCAGGTTATTCAAAGTCACTATAGAGCGGTGAAGTCGACTAGTGACTAGTTCATACAACCCCTGCTACTGCTCCCCTGTGTTCTGCAGCATAATCAGCACGTTCTCTTTGAACTTGATATCAAATTTTCGCCTCCTCTTCGTCTCCGCACGGTTAAAGTTACCCTCGCGGTCTATCACTGGCAAATCAAAAGTGAGACGGATGACACAACCGCCCCCCGTACTTGCTTGTTACCACATTCCACCCAGCCACAATAAAATACCGTCCATTATTCACCTCCGCCGACTCCGACACCGGCCAAAATATGATACCCGGCAGTTAATTAAATACAGGCTAATATTAGAGGGTTTACGGTATGTTCCAGTCATTAGTCATTTATATTTATCTGTTGTAGTAATTTATTTTAAATAAAGTAAGTTTAATTAAGAGGGGAACCCATTTTTCTTGCATTCTTTAATGAAAAAAGTAACTAAGTAGTTACTTGTCTTGGTAATTAGTTACTTTTATAATCTCGTAACTCAGTTAGTAACTGAGTTACTTTTTTGACAAAGTAATCAGTAACTATAACTAATTACTTTTTTAAAGTAACGTTCCCAACACTGCTTAAGGCTATGGTGGGCACTTAATGCACTGTGATTTATTATCGTGATTCTTCAGTTAAGCAATGTTGATTATATATTTCTTCATCAAGTTGACGCAGTGATAGCTTGATCTTGTTGTATTGTTGTTGTGTCCCTTTTTCCCCCCTCTTTCTGCAGGTCTAGAAGTAGACTCTTGTTCATTGTTTATTTTTGTGGACCCCCCCAACTTTTGTCTCTTTCTTTCTCTTTCACCTCTGTCTCCGTGTCTGGTCGGACTTACAAAGCATTCAAAAACAATAACAATAAAGTTTTAAGTATCAGGCGTGACATTAAAAGCAGATGCTTTGATGCTCCACCTGAGAGTAAATCTGTAAGGCTTGTTACCAGCATTCAGACATCAATTCTGTTTGCTTCACAGCCAGACAGGACACACACACACACACACACACACACACACACACACACACACACACACACACACACACACACACACACACACACACACACACACAAAGAACATGATGTATGGTATTTTATGTAGGGTTATTGGGTCACAGAATGGCCTTATTGATAGTTTGGCCAACCCTGTCCACAGTAATGTCCAATTTACATCAAAGTTGTGAAATCACTGGCGGAACTGTCTGTATGTTAGACATTGAACATGTTAATGTGTATTGTGTTTTTATTGTTGTTTTTTATTGTGTTTTTGTAGTTGTGTTGTTTATCATGCGTTGTTAGGTTTCTTGTATATGGATCCCCCTGGGTCTGAATTAAAGGAAATCAATCAATCAATCAATCAATCAATACTGCTGTCATTACTGACTCACGAGCATTTAATTGCCACAATACTGATAGTTTAACATTATTAAATTCAACAAAAATAATTATAATAAAATTCAGTTTATTTATAAAGCACCAAATCAAGACTAGAGTCGTCTCAAGGCACTTCACATAGTAAACATTCCAGTACAGGTCAGTTCATTAAGCCAATCAGTAAAAAGTTTCTAACGGCAGTTTTGGTTCTTCTTAAAACACAGAAAATGTTTTTTTTTTACTTTGCTGACAGTTTAGTTTGCCAACTGCAAAACTTCCTCAGACGCACGCAAACACACACACACACACACACACGCACACACACACACACACACACACACACACACACACACACACACACACACACACACACACACACACACAAATAGCGTAAGACATTTTAGAATGTATTAAGTATCTTTATTACTACAAGTGTTAATTTAACTTCAATTCAATAGTATTAACAAGATGTTTGTATTCTTCAGCTTATTATTTACATTTGTACAAACTGGTAAACTATTGGCATTTATCACGTGTGTGTTCATACACAGCTGCAACAGACCACCAATTGTGCAAGTTCTTGTCTGATTTCAGTATTTGGTCAATAACACAAGTCTATCTAAATACTTTATTTTATACTCTTTGTTGGCAACAACAGAGGTCAAAGGTTTTCTGTAAGTCTTCACAAGGTTTTCACTCACTGCTGCTGGTATTTTGGCCCATTCCTGAATGCAGATCCCTAGAGCAGTGATGTTTTGGGACTGTTGCTGTACAACATGGACTATCAGCTTCCTCTAAAGATGTTCTGTGCTGTGGAGATCTAGAGACTGAGTAAGCTGCTCCAGGACCTTGAAATGCTTCTTATAACGCCACTCCATCATTACCCAGGAGCTCTGTTTGGGGTGATTGTCATGCTGAAAGACCCAGCCATGTTTAATATTCACTGCTCTCGCATTACACAATTCAGTTGTCCTGGTCCCTTAGCAGCATTCGCAGCCACAAAGCCCCACCCTCATGCTCTACAGTAGGTTTGGTTTTCCATGGATGCAACTCAGCATTCCTTTTCTTCCAAACACGAAGAGAAGAGTTTGTATCAATAAAAACTTGGAGCGCCTGATCAAGGATCAGTGGAGCCTCTTAGGCCTAGTCCACACGTAGCCGGGGTTTTTTGAAAACGAATATCCGCCCCCCCAAAAACTTGCATCTACACCACCGCGTTTTAAAAACAAACTCTGTCCACACGTACCCGGATAAATACATTGTTAAGGACATGCCAGACCTGTAGGCGGCAGTACTTCCCCCGTTCTTAACCTCGTTCTTCGTCTGTGGTCTTCCGCAAGGAGCAGTAATTCTGCTTGCAAAAACAAACAAGCAGAAAGCGCTTGGACGATTGATGGATCGGGTAGTGACAGAGCGCAGCTCTGAGGGCATCCATGCTGTCGGCTAGTGTAAACACAGGTCGCACACGTGATGTCAGCATTTTTTTCTCGCGGAAAGTGACGTAGCGGACCTTAAAACTCCGGTTTTGTCCGTCCACACGCAGACACCCAAAACGGAGAAAACGCAGATCTTCACTTTGGCCGGAGTTTTTAAAAAGATCCGTTTTCGTGTGAAAAAACTCCGTTTTCGTGTGGATGACAGGCCAAAACGTAGGAAAATATCTACGTTTTGGCAGATCCCCGGCTACGTGTGGACAGGGCCTTAGAAGAAGTTACAGGTCTGTGAGAGCCAAATACTTTCTTGCATAATTTGCAAAAAAATTCTTTAAAAATCAGACAATGTGAATTTCTGGATCATTTAGTCTCATATTTGAGGTACGCCTATCATGAAAATGACACCTTTCATCTGTTTACTTGGGACACCTTGCACAGTTGGTAGTAGACTAATTATTAAGAATCATCCCCTTTGACTTAATTTTTTTCCATGTATATATTTAAATGTAAACAAACAAAATATAATTAGCATATTTAGCTTGTTCATCTGGGAGGGGCTGGGAGTAGACACACTGCTCCTCCACATCAAAAGGAGCCAGGCTCAGGCCTCCTTGACAGTATTTAGCACCATCCATTTTTCCTTTTACCCTAACAAGTGCCCCATCCCTGAGGCAGAGAAACACCCCCACAACAACAGCCTTTACTATAGAGGGGATGTGTGTTAAACGGTAAGCAGTGCTGGATTTACACCAGCTGTACCTTTTGGTGTTCACTTTTGGTCTCATCTGACCATCAAACCCTGTTCTGTTTGGCATCAGAATCTTCCAGATGTGTTCTGGCACAGCTCAAACCTGCTTTAATGTGAACTTTCTGGAGAAGTACCTTTTCCATGTGACCCTCCCAAACAAGCCTCATATGTGGAGCTATGTGAAAGTCTTGTTCTTTGCCATAAAGTCATGTAACTCCTTCAGAGTGGCCACTGGCCACTTACCAGTTTTGTCCTTGCTCTTCATTCCAGGTTGGAGGGCTGACTGCATCCAGGGGTCTTATAGATTTTACAATGCTCCTCGGGATTGATAAAGCCGTTAAGATGTTTTGTATTCATCTCCTGCCTTTGGTCTGTCCCCAACTTTGTCCCTGAGATCTTTCTAAAGTGGCTTGCCATCCATCGTCAGTCGTTTTCCGGTCAGGTTCACTACCAAGGCAGAGAAGGCCCCAGCAACAGCTGTTTTTACTCTCCACTAGTCACACTGATCACAACGGACCACTGGTGGAAGCCAGTAACCATGGCTACTGGGGGAGTTTAAAAGTAGTGTGTGTGTGTGGTGGTGGTGGTGGTGGTGGTGGTGGGGGGGGGTCCTTTATTAAACTTAGCATTTCCTGTTTTTGATCGATTAAAATGGTTCTTGAACCGGTAGTTATTACAGCTGATATTGGAGCTGGTGGAAGTTATAATGGAAAAAGATTCAAGTCTTTCAAAGGGGCGATCCTTTTCCAAAGCCGCTATAATAAGAACCATCTCTCCATGACATGTTTGGATTAAGACTGAATGTGTGAGTCAGAATTTAAAAAAATCTAGCTTTTCTCCTGCTTGCCATCTTGTATGGGAATACACCCCGACACACACATACACACAGGACACGTGACGTGTCTGACTGATGTTACTGAATGACAAACATTTAAAATAAATGTACAATGTTCACGAGAGATGATGAGATGTTCATTTGAGAGGAAACCTGGGTGGAATGACCATCCCTGCAACAAGCTGCAGCTCTTTCCATGTGGATAAAAACGATTGCTCCAATAATGTTCAACAGAACGGAATTCATGTTAAACCCATTCAAACAAACTGCTTCGACATCTGGAACACATAATAAAACATCATTTAACATCACTGAAAATGTCGATGATGTCTGTAAACAATAAAAAGGTTAAGGTTGCTTCTGTTTAAACCAGGGTTACAGTTTTAGACTCACAAGAAATTTTATTCAAATGTTTTTAACAAATCAAGACTTCACACACACACATGCACACACATACACGCACGCATACACACAATGTATTATTGTGCAGCAGTAACTCAGAAGGTAGAGTGTGTTGCCTCATGATTGGAGGGTTGTGGGTTCGAGTCCAACTTCTGGCATGGGAACTCTGCTGTTGTGTCCTTGGGCAAGACATGTCAACCCACTTGCCTGTGTTGGTGGTGGTCAGAGGGGCCAGCAGCCATGCCTCTGTCAGACCAGCCCAGGGGGCTGTGGCTACATAGTAGCTAAGCATTACCAGCAGTGTGTGAGTGTATGAATAATGGAAACCATTAGAGTGCTAGAAAAGCGCTACATAAATGTAATCCATTATTATTGCTACTAGAGTATCAGCAGAGGTTTAGGGTAGATCTGGGAGCGTGAGTTAAAACTAACCAACATGGCTGAACAGCCTGTGGTTACGGTGAAGGAACTGAAACAAAGCCTCAGCAGAGTCAGACTTTGGTCTGTTGTAACACATGAAAACGTAAGTACTGTTATGTTTATAAACACAAGAGTTCTTATTCCTGATGTGACCGACAGGAGCTCAGACAGAAAACTGGATGGACTCAATCTGGGTCCACTTCTTCAGCCTCCTAGGGCCTCATTTATGGTTGTTTGTGTAGAATTCTTATTAAAGCTGTCACCAAACTCACTGCTTGTTCGCCATGGCATGCAATTCCTGCTTAAGAAATCACACCCATCCCAGAAATGTGCTCAGGTGCCTCTCACACACACACACCCTTTTTTCTTAAGTGGTCAATGCAAAGCAGCTTCTGAATACTCTGCATATCATAAGCCGGCTAACAGGTGTCTGTGTCTTCTGATCGACTAAGTGGACACGAACAGAAAGCTTTAAACTTCTGTTCATGAGACAGACTTTTGACTGGACCTTGCTGTCAAAGTGCATTTAATGTTTGCGTTGATGGTACTGCTAGGTCAGGGGTCTGCAACCCGCAGCCCTTTCTTTCCTCTGATGCAGCTCTCTGCTTGTAAAATAATGAATGAATATTTAATAAAAATGTATTTTATTTTACTGCATTTATTTTTCATCTGTGTGCCAACTCTAAATGTGGAGTTTGTCATCTTTTAAAGTCTAAACAAAAATGATGAAGACCTGAAATGACAGGTCACCTGCTTGTGCGTGATCAGATGTCTCTATAGGAGCTTCCTGAGCTGAAGAGGATGTGAGCTTCTGGACTTTTCAGGGGATCTTTCATGGATGTAAATTCAAATAGTTGGAGTACCCGACCCGGAGGGTTACCGGGGTCCCACCCTGGAGCCATGCCTGTGGTTGGGGCGAGTGAGCAAGCGCCTGGTCGCCGGGCTTTCGCCCATGAGGCCCAGCCCAAACCAGATACATGAGCTCATCCAACTGTGGACCCACCACCCGCAGGAGGAACATGAAGGGTTCGGTGAAGTGTGGATTGGGTGGCAGACCGAGGCGGAAGCCTTGGCGGTCCGATCCCCGGACAAGGAAACTGGTTATTGGGACATGAAAGGTCACCTCGCTGGCGGGGAAGGAGCAGGAGCTTGTGGCAGAGGTTGAGCGGTACCGGCTAGATATAGTCGGACTCACCTCGACACATAGCATTGGCTCTGGAACCCAAGTCCTTGAGAGGGGTTGGACACTCTCCTTTGCTGGAGTTGCTCCGGGTGAGAGGCGGAGGGCTGGAGTTGGCTTTTTGTTAGCCCCAAGACTCTCTGCCTGTGTGTTGGGGTTTACCCTGGGGGACAAGAGGGTAGCTTCCGTGTGCCTTCGGGTCGGGGAATGGGTCCTGACTGTTGTTTGTGCTTATGGGCCAAATATCAGTTCAGAGTACGCACCCTTTTGGGAGTCCCTGGGACGAGTGCTAGATAGTGCTCCATCAGGGGACTCCACTGTCCTGCAGGGGGACTTCAATGCTCACGTGGGCAATGACAGCTTGACCTGGAGGGGTATGATTGGGAGGAACGGCCCGCCTGATCTGAACTTGAGTGGTGTTTCGTTATTGGACTTCTGTGCAAGCCGAAGTTTGGCCATAACGAACACCATGTTCGAACATAAGGATGCCCATTGGTACACTTGGTACTAGGGCAGCCTAGGTCGCACGTCGATGATAGACTTTGTAGTCGTATCATCTGACCTGCAGCCATATGTTTTGGACACCCGAGTGAAGAGAGGAGCGGAGCTGTCAACTGATCACCACCTGGTGGTGAGTTGGATCAGACGGCAGGGGAAGATGCCGCGTAGACCTGGCAAATCCAAATGCATAGTGAGGGTCTGCTGGGAACGCCTGGCAGAAGAACCTGTCAAGACGGTCTTCAACTCCCACCTCCGGCAGAGCTTTGACTGCATCCTGAGAGCAGTGGGGGACATTGACTCAGAGTGGGCCTTGTTCCACTCTGCAATTGTTAAGGCGGCTGTTGCTAGCTGTGATTGCAAGGTGGCCAGTGCCAGTCGTGGTGGCAACCCCCAAACCCGCTGGTGAACACCAGAGGTTCGGGGAGCCGTCAGGCTGAAGAAGGAGGCCTACAGGGCGTGGCTGGTCTGTGGGTCTCCGGAGGCAGCAGACAGGTAACGGATAGTCAAGCCGGGTGCAGCAGTGGCAGTTGCCGAGGCAAAATCTCGGGCGTGGGAGGAGTTTGGTGAGGCCATGGAGAAAGACTATCGATCAGCTCCAAAGAGGTTCTGGCAAACTGTCTGGCGCCTCAGGAGAGGAAGGCAGCAACTTGCTAACACTGTTTACAGTGGGGATGGGGAGCTGCTGACGTCAACTGGGACTATAGTCGGATGGTGGAAGGAATGCTTTGAGGAACTCCTCAATCCCACCTATGCGCATTCCGAGGGGGAACCAGAGCCGGGAGACCTGGGGATGGACTGTCCGATCTCGGGGTAAGAAGTTGCTGAGGTAGTCAAACAACTACACAGAAGCGGAGCATTGGGGGCGGATGAGATTCGTCAAGGCTATGGATGTTGTAGGGCTGTCATGGTTGACACGTCTCTGCAACATTGCGTGGTCATCGGGGGCAGTTCCTGTGGAGTGGCAGACCGGGGTGGTGGTCCCCATCTTTAAGAAGGATGACCGGAGGGTGTGTTCCAACTATAGGGGGAATCACTCTCCTCAGCCTCCCTGGAAAGGTCTACTCCAAGGTACTGGAGAGGAGGACCCGATCGATAGTTGAATCTCAGATTGTGGAGGAGCAATGCAGTTTTCGTCCTGGCCGTGGAACTGTGGACCAGCTCTATACCCTTGCAAGGGTGATGGAGGGGGCATGGGAGTTTGCCCAACCAATCCACATGTGTTTTGTGGATTTGGAGAAGGCTTATGACCGTGTCCCCAGGGGCACCCTGTGGGGGACGCTCCAGGAGTATGGGGTGGGTAGCGTTCTGTTAAGGGCCATTCAGTCCCTTTACCAGAGGAGCGTGAGTTTGGTCCGCATAGCCGGTAGTAAGTCGGACCTGTTCCCAGTGAGGGTTGGACTCCGCCAGGGCTGCCCTTTGTCACCGGTTCTGTTCATTACCTTTATGGACAGAATTTCTAGCCGTGGTGTGGAGTGTGTCGAGTTTGGTGGCAGGAGAATCTCATCTCTGCTTTTTGCGGATGATGTGGTCCACCTAGCTTCATCCAGCTCTGACCTTCAGCTCTTGCTGGGTAGGTTTGTGGCCGAGTGTGAAGTGGCTGGGATGAGGATCAGCACCTCCAAATCTGAGACCATGGTTCTCAACCGGAAAAGTGTGGCTTGCCAACTCTGGGTCGTGGGAGAGGTCCTACCTCAAGTGGAGGAGTTTAGGTATCTCGGGATCTTGTTCACGAGTGAGGGTAGGAGGGATCGGGAGATCGACAGGCGGATTGGTTCGGCATCTGCAGTGATGCGGATGCTGAGCCGATCTGTCATGGTGAAGAGAGAGCTGAGCCAGAAAGCCAGGCACTCGATTTACCGGTTGATCTACGTCCCAATCCTCACCTATGGTCATGAGCTTTGGGTAATGACCGAAAGAACGAGATCGCGGATACAAGCGGCCGAAATGAGTTTCCTCCGTAGGGTGGCCGGGCTCAGCCTTAGAGATAGGGTGAGGAGCTTGGACATTCGGGAGGGACTCGGAGTAGAACCGCTGCTCCTCCGGATCGAAAGGAGTCAGTTGAGGTGGTTTGGGCATTTGGTCAGGATGCCTCCTGGACGCCTCCCTGGGGAGGTGTTTCGGGCATGTCCTGCCGGCAGGAGGCCCCTGGGTCGACCCAGGACACGTTGGAGAGGTTACATCTCCAATCTGGTCCGGGAACGCCTTGGGGTCCTGCCGGGGGAGCTGTGGAGGTGGCCGGGGAGAGGACAGTCTGGAGCTCCCTAGTTGGGATGCTGCCCCCGCGACCCAGACCCGGATAAGCGGAGGAAGACGACGACGACCTTCTAGTGAAGATTGTTGCAAACAGAAACATTAAACATGATTACCACCAGAGCCATGTGCTCTGCGCCGCTACCTCCGTCTCTGTAAATGAGGGAAAACACAAATTGATCAAATCCTTTTCTTACCTTTTTAACATTATTTAATGTAAAGTTTAGTTCAGTACAAAGTTTAACTACAACAATCCAACGAGACAGAGGCTGGATTTGTTTCTGAACAGTTTAAACATGTTTTAAAAGGAGACACGTGGGACTCTGTAAAAAACAGCACCTGCTCAGGTCCGGTAGGCCCCACCCATAATGTCGCGGCTGCTGTGGCCCAGTGTGCTCTTTACTGTGGGAAACGGGTAATATGGCTCTGTGACCCCTGGGCTAAATAATAGCTCTACTTCAATTCTAAAGCCAGAATCTCAGTGAGCCATGAGTAACAGAAGGCTCTAGACTTGAGTCTTAGGGCCTCGAAAATGTGAAAACAGTTTTGTTTCAGAGGTTAGTCTCAGCAGGGTGTTGTGGTCTCACAGCTGCTCGTTTTAACACTTTAATATAGATTAGCTGAGTTTTTCATCACCAGTCAGGTAACTTTAAGATCGATTCACACGGTGGGACAATCATGCCGGCTTTTGACCTGAACTCCAACATTCTTAGGGACCTCTGATAATCTTATCAAATAATCCTAGCATGTGTGGTGTGTGTAGAGAGCTCAGGTCTGCTCAGAAGCACGTTGAAACTGCTCTGATCATAAATTCAGTCTTTCAAGCATGTTGAGTTGTCCTTATCTGTCTGATGTTGGAGGACCAACAAGAGCGCTCCTGTTGAACGTGACGCGTAGCCACTCAGAAACCCTAAAGCCGGGCGTACACTGTGCGACTTTTTCACTCGCAGCGTTCAGCTTCAGCTCAAACTGTACGACTTCCTCGCAGAGCAGATCTCACGAGTCGTGTGCTCACACTGCACGACCCAGTTCTCGCATGCGACCTGACTGCTCACACTGTACGTCTGGTAGCAACACGTCGGCCCTAAAACTGTGCTAAAAATAGCAGTTTTTACTCAACACGTCAGACTTTTTTGTCTTGCCTGTTGTCCTTCGGGAGTGCTGCAGGAGGACACACAGGGATTTATGGGGGTTGGATGAGGAAAACGAAATAAAGAAAGTGAATCTGTGTTTTGTGATCAGTTTAATTTGACATGAACACGACAAACACGCTTTCTTGACAATCTTTGAGTAAAAAAAACGTGTAGAAACAAAAACGAACAGCGTGTGTTATTAGGGAAATAGCGAGCGACCGGCCGGCGTTGATGCAGGATTGCGCGCGCATGCGCCGTGAGCGGTTCTGATGCTTTTTGGATCGCAGCTGCTCGCAGCGCCGCTTCAACAGTGCGATACCCTCACGAGGGACGAGCGAAATATTAAACACACCAGAAGTCCCTGCGACCTCACGACTGCTGATCGGCAGCTGGTCACGTGGTGTTAATCGCCTCTCGTAACCCCCTGTACACTACACGACCGCTCGGCGCAAAACTCGCCCCGATGTCGTGGCTTCTCGCACGACTGGAAAATCGGCTCAAAAAAGTGAAAAAGTCGCACAGTGTACGTCGCCCTTTACCCAGTGTTATGTTTAAGCTCGTTGGATTTTCTAAGTGAAAAGGTTTGTGTTTTTGTCTCCATCCGGCTGAGCTCCTGAGGCCATTCTGGCCATCATTTAGTCCCTCGTACACCTTCATCATTTTCTTTGCTTCAATCATATTGTTGATCATTCACATCTCGGACTTTCTTCTGTTGGTATCATTTAAATACAAAAGCCAGAAGAAATAAAATTGGCTGTTATTGTAAATCAAGGACAAGTGTATTCATGTGAAACCGAGCCTACTCCTGTCTGGGCATGCTAATGGAAGGGTGGAGATGAGAACAGCTGCTTAAAGACAAAAGAAAAGAAAAACATCTCTAAGATCCAACTCTGGGTTCCCGACTTTCATTCCAGCTTTGTGAAAGCTCTGTCACACACCAGATGAGGGGATCTCATGTTTGTCTTCAAGATGCATCATCCTGTCCATCAAATAATTGGCATTAGAAAATTTGAGCTTAAAAATGTCCACATGTGTAAAGAGTCACGAGCTGCTTCAGCCCATATCCAGCTCAACACAAACATCACCAAGCACTCCTGGAGTCATTAAACCAGCGAGCCTGCTCTACTCTGGGCGGGCACCATGACAGGCACCGCCCCCATCCTCTCTAGCGTCACCTGGCTGACTGCATAGGAGTGTGTGTGGTTCCCGTGTGTAGAGGTCACCACTGGCTTAAGGCCCACAGCGCCGTTGCTACGCACCATGGTGGAGGGGGACGGGGCAGAGTTCGTTGTGACCACCAGAGTCTTGGGCGAAGGCAGGGTGTGGCTGCCATTGCCAAACGATGTTATTGTTGCCGTAGCAGGTGGCGCGTGGCGGGACGGTGGGGTGGAGCCTGGGGCTGTGACCGCCGCATCGTGGCCCGGAACAGCATTCTGGTTCTGCCTGTGTCCATGAGGTCCATGTGCAGCAGCACCTGTGAAGGTCTGATGGGTGTCTCCATTGTAGCGCGTGTAGGAGTTGGTGTCGTAGTTGGTTTTGGGGTTGTGCCAGTAGCGACTGTTGTATGTGTTTGTGGATGTCAGCGTGTCGTTCTCAGAGGAAGACGCATCCGCATGGAAAGCCTTCACAGAAGAAGATCGCTTTGGAGGCAAATCATCTTCTCTGTTGTGGAGAAACATCAAGTTGTTTTTGTTAGACAATCATCCTCACAAGAACAAGCAGTGTGACGCATAGGCCACTGCTTTAAATGGTGTCCAGTTCAACAGGAGCAAAACACATCTGACTGTGGGAGAGAGAGCATACTCTTTTTACTCTCGTTTTATCGCTGAGCCGTGCTTTTACATCTGGTAAAACATTTGTAACAGACACATTTAAGTTAGAGATGTTCCTCCAAACCTGGAGTTTTTCACTCTTAGCCAAACTTTTTTTTTATGAGTCGATTGAGAACTCATTCTCATGTATGCAACAGACACATAGTTAGCTTTACACCAACGAACAGCAGAAAGGTTAGTTACATAAAGACAAAAATAACTTCAGTGAAAGAAAATTAAAACAGTCAGAGACGCTACACTGGGTCCGTCCAGGTCAGACTCAGGACACTTATGCAGAGGTGGAACAATTCTAATGAATACACCTGAGCTTATACAAGGTCAGGGGTGGGCAACCCTGGTCCTAGAGAGCCACAGTCCTGCCTGATTTCTGGCCATGCATGAACTTGCAGCTTCTAATTGGCTGAACACACCTGATCAAGGTAATCACCAGCAGGAACAACAAAGCTCTATAGGACCAGGGGTCTCATTTATCAAACACTGCATAGAATCCTGACTAGAACCGTACTTAAGCTCAGCAAAAAAACTGTACTCACGCCAAGTAGGTTTGTGATCTATCAAACATGGAGTACGCACAGCTGCACGCAATCTCCGCTTCATAAATCGGAGACTAACGAGAATATTTCTCAGCTGCATTTTAGTCACATCCCGCCCTCACCGCACCCACTTACTGCCATAAATAGTCAATGCAAAGTGCCTTGTGGATCTCATGCATATACATAAGCAGGCTGTTGCAGCATTTCGATCACGACTGCAGATCAAGGAAGCGGTGCTATTTCACAAGCAGAAGTTGAGGTACCTGTGGGTGAGGTGGAGAAATGAAAGGAAGTGCTTTTGCAAAACAAATAAGAAAATGCACAGAGTGGCACAGCGTTGCTGAAGCCGTCAATGTTGTGAATTCTTCAGAGAGATCTGTGGCGGATATTAAAAAAAAAGGTCCAATCAGGATTCGATCCCCAGACTCCCGGGTGAAAATCGCACGCGCTACCCAGTCAGCCAAACAGAGATCTCCCTTGTCCAAGTAGCGAGGGCGCATGATCAATCGTGTCACAGTGACAGGACACACACACACACCGTCACAGACGCATGACATTCTGTCTCAATCTGTCCCCCTGCTGATATTCTATATTTCGTATTCTGCGCTTCAGGCTGTGTGTGTGTGTGTGTGTGTGTGTGCGTGTGTGTGTGTGCACTCATGTGAGTGTGCGTGCATGTGTGTGTGCATGTGGGGGGTCTTGTACTGCTTCGTTTTCACACAGTACAAGTGATAATGCTGCAGGATTTCATAACTTTATCCTTCTCAGCAGCAGCACTGCAGGTGCTCTCCATGCTCAACATGTGTGTAAGCCAGGTCCTTAGTCAACTTAAAGCTGCGCACATTTTTCCGCTAAGCTTTCTTTCATAAATCCCAAAGTTTGCATGGAAAGTTGCTTACGCAATTTTCCGACCCTGTTTTGTGCGTAAGCAAGCTTGATAAATGAGGCCCCAGGGCTCGAGGTGGACACAGACAGCTCTAATGCATATTTTTTTGAGACTAGAAGAGTCTTGAATACAAGCCGACCTGATTTCGTTGGGAATCTCCTCCTCCTCATATCGATTCTTGTTCCTCCAGTAGAAGAGAGTGACCACCACTAAGAGTGCACAGATGATGAGAGCCAGGACTCCAGTGGCGATGGTGCCCACTATCAGACCCACACTCTGAGGCTGGGCTGCAGGCAGTAGGAGGACATTTCATGTCACAGGGACATCTTGGACATTTTGAAGCAAAAACATCTCACCTTTACATTGTTACTTGGGCAGAAATATGAAGAGTTTCTGCTACATTTAGCTGTGGCTGGAGGTATTTAAACTTAGAAATAACAGAATTCAAGATTTGATGTGAACTTGTAATGACGTAAACTTCTGTGGACTTTAGGAGACTGGAGCTATCATGGGTCTCACTGTGGTCCAACCACAAACCCCTCAGTCCTGTAGGACAGAAGCTTTAATTGGGTCCTTTAATGGTCTCACGATTCCTGCTGCTGACCAGCAGAGTGGTCGAATGAATGAAGAAATGATTCGTTTGTGTAAGTCAGTTGTTTTCTGCCTCAGTAAAGTGTCACCATACATTTGATATTATTTTAGTCCCAGCTGATTGGAATAGTGCCATAGAGAGTGTAAACACTGTGTTCCTGGCTGGTAACAGCTGTTTGATGCTGCAGGCTGTGCCTGCGGACTTACACGCTACAACCTGCAGGTTGAGCACACATGTGCTCTTGCCGATGGCGTTGCTGGAGGTGCACTGGTAGAGTCCTGAAGTGCTGGTGCTGATGTTTCTCAGGGTGACGGTCCCCTCCATCTGGTCTGGTGAACATACAGTGATACACAACATGCATCAAGTTACTGTGAGACCAAATAATTCATAACCTACAGAGAAAAAAAGCTAAAGCTTTTTTTACTTCTAAAAACTGCAGAAACTCCGTAAACAGCCCATAGAGGGTGCTGTGTGCCTGCTACAAACATGGATGTCACAGCTGTTCCCTACAGTTGGACCACCTCATATGTAGGTCATGTTACCATCTCATGAGGTTGTCATACGTGTCAGAAACCCTCTAAACATGTTAGAGAAGCAGAAACATTTCTGTTCAGGTGAAATGTAGAAAAACCTGAAAGTAAATAGAAATGTGAACATCTGGAGATCTTGAGACACTGTTATGCAAGACAGTGTTTTCTGTCTAATGACAAGTGGTCACCTCTGAACATCTGGTTTTCTTCTCTTCAGAGCTCATAAAGTTCAAGGAGCTGTCCAGCAGATGATGATGCTGCTTTCTGTTTGAAGGTGTTATTCTAATTAGGTTATTGCTCCGAAATTGACACTTCGTTCTGTGCAGACATCCATCTACCCATCTATTCATCCAATCATCCAACCATCATCCATCCATCCATCATCTATTCATCCAATCGTCCAACCATCATCCATGCATCCATCATCTATTCATCCAATCGTCCAACCATCATCCATCCATCATCTATTCATCCAATCGTCCAACCATCATCCATCCATCATCTATTCATCCAATCATCCAACCATCATCCATCCATCCATCATCTATTCATCCAATCGTCCAACCATCATCCATGCATCCATCATCTATTCATCCAATCGTCCAACCATCATCCATCCATCATCTATTCATCCAATCGTCCAACCATCATCCATGCATCCATCATCTATTCATCCAATCGTCCAACCATCATCCATCCATCATCTATTCATCCAATCGTCCAACCATCATCCATCCATCATCTATTCATCCAATCATCCAACCATCATCCATCCATCCATCATCTATTCATCCAATCGTCCAACCATCATCCATCCATCATCTATTCATCCAATCGTCCAACCATCATCCATCCATCATCTATTCATCCAATCATCCAACCATCATCCATCCATCCATCATCTATTCATCCAATCATCCAACCATCATCCATCAATTCAATCATCCAACCATCAATCCATCCATCATCTATTCATCCAATCATCCAACCATCAATCCATCCATTCATCCAATCATCCAACTATCATCCATCTAGTCATGTACCCATCCATCCATCCATCTATTCATCCAATCATCATCCATCTATCCATCTACCCATCCATCCATCTATTCATCCAATCAACCATCATACATCCATCCAGCCATGCCCTGGCATCTCTAATTCCCCACCGCTCCCCCTTAGAATCTCAGCAGTACTCGGACTGGCAAGCATGCCTGGCATCGTGCCGGAGAATGAGGGAGACACTGACTATGCAGAGGAGACTGGTAACGTTTAAGCCATTTATTAATACAGATCAAATGTGTCCGTCATTAAAATATAAAACAAAACCAAATCTCGTTTCCTCCCAGTGACTCTGGACGAAGCGTCCAATGAGGCATCCCGGGCCTAACACGAAGCGGTACAAGTGATAATGCTGCTGGAATTCATAATTGTATCTTCTCAGCAGCAGTACTGTAGGTGCTCTCCAGGTCCTTATTCAACTTAAAGTAGTGAACATTTTTCCACCGTTTTTTTATGAATCCCAAAGTTTAAATGGAAAGTTGCTTACGCAGTTGTCCGACCCCATTTTGTGAGTAAGCAATTTTATAAATGAGTCCCCAGTTCATTTAGCCAATTAGTAAAACGTTTCCTATATGAGGAACCCAGCAGGTTGCATCGAGTGACTGACTAGTGTCAGAGTCTTTACAGCAATCCTCATACTAAGCAAGCATGCAGCGACAGTGGAGAGAAAAACTCCCTTTTAACTGGAAGAAACCTCCAGAGGATCCTGGCTCAGTATAAGCAGCCATCCTCCACGACTCACTGGGGATGGAGAAGACAGAGCAGACAAAGACACACACACACACACACACACACACACACACACACACACACACACACACACACACACACACACACACACACACACACACACACACACACACACACACACACACACACACACACACACACACACACACACACACACACACACCAAGTAGTGTGTCTATGGTTACATTGTGATGTCTTAGTAAATATTCTATTTGGATAGAGATAAACTTTATTGTATTTACCCTAGTGGATCTCTAATTAAACGGGTAAACTAGTAGTAGCACATCCAATGCCAAAGAGAGTAGTGTTATCATCAGGAGAGGGAGAATGTATTAGTGGTTAGCAGCAGTGTGCTAGTCGATGGCCCCTCCATGAGGCCACCACAGCTCAGCAGAACGTCATTGTAGCTTCTTCTGGGGAGAAAAACACTTAGAGAGAAAATAAAGTTAACAGCTGAAAAAGCAGGAAATAATACAGTTAAAGAGCAGACTGTAGAAGAAAGTAGTAGAGTGTGAAAAGTGGTCAGTGTGTCCTCCAGCAGTCCAACCCTATAGCAGCATAACTACAGAGGTAACTCTGGATAACCTATCCTTTTAGATGGAGGCATGTTGGAGGCAGGGCAAGGGAGAGTCGCCTTTACCGACTGTAAACTCCACCTCCCTCCTTCCATTCGTCCTTCCATCTCTCTGTCCATCCATCCATCCGTCCCTCATTTGGGTCAGCGAGAGGAAAACCTTTGGGCCTGTAACTTGACGGTAGAGCTAATTGAAAAAACAGCTTCTGTCTGGGATTCACCAGTGAAGATGTGTCAACAAGGCACTGTGACGGCCAGCTTGTTTATAATAGTGATGTGACATTCATGAACGAATCAAATCTTTTGAACAGGTTTTCAAAGTTAATGATGAGAGCAGAGTCCCTGCAGAGAGCCGTTCATCTTAACAAACCTCCCTGGAAGTCGGTCAAACTCACCCGCTCAAACTCCACCCACTGCTGTGACGGACGTAGGAGGAACCATAGATATGTATATAAACACACGTTTATATATAACCAACCCTGTGCGCCCTCACGGACACCGCAGGAAGACATTGATCCCCCACCCCCCACCCCCCCACCCCTATCTTGGCTTCATTTCGTTCAAAGGAGCCAGTCTTTTGAACGGCTCTTTGAGGTAAACGACAGACTAATGAACGGCTCCCACAAAAGAACCATAAATCCCATCACTGGTTTATAATACCTTGCATGGCGTTAGGTGGCAGCCTGGGCACTGCATTTAGTTTTTCCCAGGAGTAGGATGGTGTGGGAATCCCTTCTTCTGAGCTGCAGAACAGCATAATGTCACTGCCTACATCCAGTGTTCCCTGGATTCGACATGCTGGCACCGAGGGAGACACTGGAGGGTGGGAAGAGAGGGTAGAGTGCATTAACCACATCACAAACCTTAAGTCAGTTTTTCACATTGATGAAAAAATCCCATTTTTTTAAATAAAGAAAATTGTGATTCAAAATCTCCATTTATTTCTTCTGACATAGGTGTACAGTATTTACCCAACACGGTGAGGCCAATCACACCAATATTCCGCCCCCCTCTGTCTGGGAGGTTGTTGACCAGGCATTGGTAGGTTCCGGTGTCAGACAGCTGGGTGTTGTTGATAAAGATAGAGGCACTGGTGCTTGGCATGGTGGCCACAAAGCCCACACGGCCGTTGAGATGGTTGGCGAGGTTGAACACCTGGCCATTCTGGTAAATTATCACCTAGGTTGGGAAAGTAAAAGGTATCAGATATCACAGAAACCACTGTAATGTCCAGCAATGGTCAGTTTTTAGGTACAGTTTGACCATTCTACATCTGGTCAAAATGTAGACACGAGACTGCATGTGTTCCCTTTAAATCGGCCTGCCTTCAATTAGGGATGCACCGATCAGGTTTTTTGCTGCCGATCACCGATACCGATATCAATGAATGCTGATCACCGATACCGATCACGTGGATTGGCCAGAAATTTTCTACAACATTATAATGAGTGCTACAAACTACATAATCTGGGAATAAAGGAAATGTAACCTATTTTAAAATGGTCTGTATTAGGGTTGTCATGGTGTGAAAATTTAACCTCACGGTTATTGTGACCAAAATTACCACGGTTTTCGGTATTATCGCGATATTTTTTTTAAACATGCTACATTTTCACACAACTAAATAAACCCTGTATGTCAGGAGATATTGTCCTCAGTTTGTGTCTAAATTTTACCTAAAATTTGTTATTTTGTAATTATGTTGTTTATTTGTTAACATTTTTCCCCTTTAGTCTTTAAAATACCAATATTTGCCCATAACTTCTTATTTTTTCTCTGTTTGATGTCATCATATTAAAATTATTAGATCAGATGATACTCAGTACTCAAGTAGCCTTCTAATCAGATACTTTTTTACCCTTACTTGAGTAATAAACCCTATATCAGGAAAATATTGTCCTCGGTTTGTGTCCTTCCAGTGAGCTTTGCAGATGTGGGAAAATGTCATCAGGCAGTAATCATTGTTAAATTCATAATTATTCTCGGAGAGAGACCAACTCTTATCTGCCCCTGGGAGCTCCGTAATGCATAGCGTCATTTCAACATGGGGGTGTCCGCGACACGGTTTATATGCAGGTAGCGGCGCTGCGGCTGCTTTATATAGCGACTCGTTGCATTCTCCCTCAACCCAAATCCTCGGATCACGCATTTTAGCTAAAACGCTAACGTTAGCTTGCCTTGCGTTGACTGTAGAGTTGTGGGTGATGGTCACGCAGATGTGTCATGAGATTTGAAGCGTTGCTGCCTTTCACAGACACTTTTTCTGCACGTGCTGCAAACAGGAAAGCTGCCTTCTATAAACTGTCCCTCGGCATTCTTCAAATATCCAAAAGATGCCCGAACTTCCCACTTTGTCTTCTTTGAGGGATAAAAAATGTCCTCCTGAGCACTGCCGTCTCCTCCTTTGGCCATTATTTCAGCTTTAGCTTAAAGAAAGTTTTGGTCGTAAACAACAAAGCGCTCATGTGCCGCCGGCAACTTCAGCAGATGATACGGTGGCTGGTAAGAGTCACCGCGCCTACACCGCAGCCACGGTAAACCCACAGAGATATTATAGAATTTTTTTTTAAAAAACAAGACGGTTATTATTATTGTCAACTTTTTTTTACCGGGGTTTACCGCTACACCGGTTACCGTGACAACCAAACCTGATCGGTCTGCTTTGATCTATTTTGAAAACTCCGATCAAAACCGATAGGGGCGCTATCGGCCGATTGGGATCAAATGCTGATCCATTGGTGCATCCCTACCTTCATCCCATCAGCTGGAGCTCAGAGCCTCTCTGCAGCTCTGAACACATGATAACGAATTGTCAACAATGATGTTCTCTCCTCAAGGTCCAATCTTCCCTTATCGTCCTACAGGATTCTTCATGCCTCTTAATAAGGAACACTCGCAGCTCGGATTAGTTGCTAAATTAAAGAATGATTTCTTAAATTAAATATGAACTTTTAAAACTTATAAGTTAAATAATCATTAAATAAACGTTTGTTTATTGCTACTCATAATAATTATAATATAATGAAATGCTTTCATTAATCTGTGCTTGAGTCAGTCAATCAATCAATCAATACTTTATTAATCCCAGAGGGAAAATAGAGTTTCAGTACACACAATTCAGAGATCAGACATACATGGGCATAGACACATGACAAGAATTGGTGACTGTGGTCATTGGACCACCAATCCGAGGGGGGGGGGGGGGGGGGTCGGGTTTTCACAGCATCTGTCTGCATTCCTTCGTGGGGGTATTAGTTGCTTGCAGCTCAAGGCTACCAGGGCGTCAGATTCAGATAACAAGAATTTGTTTGGGTCAGGCTGAGATAATTTTCCTCTCTGCCTTCAGTCTTTAAACTGATCATTCCAGTCCTTCAGTGAAACCAATTTGGGGTTTTTAAACCTCTCCGAGATTGCTTCCATTTTGCGCACTAATACCGGTATTGCAGCTAGAACATTGTCCAGCTTACTATTCACCTCGAGTAGCGTCCCAGTCTGAGAAGTCTCCACACGGATGGTGCTAGGGCAGCTCGATTATGGCAAAAATAATAATCACGATTATGGTGACTGAAATTGAGATCACGATTATTTAGGATGATTTTTCTATTTATGTTGATTTTATTTGTTTTTATTCAGTCATAAAATTGCTCAGGGCACAATCAGGACAAAAATAAACAAGAAACAAGACGATCACTAAAATAATTCCTGATTCCCAGTATAAAAAGACCAATATACTTATAGCTCATAGTTTATGACCCAAGGAATATAGACCTTGGTTTAGCTCATTTATGTCTAACCAGTAAAGACCCAAATACCAATATCTTGCAAATACTGACAGCAAGAATTATACAGTGGCATTTATAACAAATACATGCAAATAAATTGATGTTCACAAAATGTTGCGTAACATTTATTGAAGTCGTGTCAAGGTGCTGTAGCAGTGTGCACTAGCACCGTGTCCTCAGAGAGATCAGTTATTATTTATCAGCATGAGGAACTTACTTCTATTTCTACCTTATTTATAAACTATTTATTTACAGGTCCATCAGTTAATGTAATAATTGTCCCAACCACAGCTGCACCCCCCACACCGGTCTCACAGCAATAGGGGCAAGCTGCATGTATGTTTAGCACGCTGCACGCGCACATTTAGCCGTTTTTAGCGGCTCAGGAGCCCGCAGGTACGGTGTGTGTGTCACTCACTCTGGTTACTCCAACAGGGAGCCGACTCTGAGAGCTGTGTCTTTAGCGACCGACACATCACTACATCATTCCCTTTCCTAATGTCCTGAAGAACGGTCCGGAGCACAGGTGGAGTGTTTAGCTAACCTGCAGGAAATGTCGATGACAGTTATCCAGAAAGTAGCTAAGGGTTACCAGAGATGTTTCTGAGGTGTTCGCTAGGTACTTTTTAGATTTAAAAAGTCAAGAAGGGGGTCTGAGAAGCTGTTAGAAATAGCGTCAAAGTCGCCAGGTTGGCAACACCCTAGGAGGAGCGTTTCATTTGCAACTCAGGGCAGTGCAAGTGGGAGGAGCAAATAATCGGCTTGTTTTGTTTTTTATAATCGTTCAAAACTCAGATCGTAATCGTGATTAAAATTCGATTAATTGAGCAGCCCTAGACAGTGCTTTCCGTGGGTGCGGGTCGCCCTCCAATTGCTCCAGTCTTCCCAAATTTTCAGAAAACCAGATATCCTCCCACTCCAATCAGGAGAAATCCAGTGATCATCAGGCCGAATATCCACACGTCTTCGACATCCTCAATGGACAGCTGGCTGAGGCATATGATCTTCCATTCCCTCCAGGAATCCAGCATATATCCCACCGGGTGTGTCCCCTGTGGACATGTGGGAGCCCCCTGCTCCGTTCTCATTGTTGAAAAAATCTTATCGCATTGAATGACCAATTTATCAAATCCATGGTTAAAAAATAGGGTTTTTCAGAAGAAATTCAGAGAAGCGCTCTGTGGGCAGACAGGACAAAGAGCCTTGGGAAAAAAAGATAAGGGAGTGAAAGAGAGAAGCGTCTGTACTCCGCGAGTGCCTTGAAGAAGAGGGACTGAAGTTGCAAATGAAAGTTATGATTACATTGATTGATATGTTGATATGACAAGGTCATCACCATTTGCACTCACACAAGGACAAAGTAAAGTTAAGTTAAATGTGTGACACATAGAAAGTCCTTTACCCCAGATCAGAACATCCGGTATCAAAGAAGGTGTGTTTCTGAGTTGTCTTGGTAATATTCCTCAACTTGTCAACCTCTGGTTGGCTACACAAATCATAACATGAGAACATTAAAACCGGATCACTCTGGTGATTCATCAGTTCTTGAGAAAGCTTCAGACTGGCCATCTGAAGCAAAACCTCTTTAACCATCAAAATCTTTTTGCACCTGCGAAGCTGATAAAGTAAATGGTTCCTGCAGATAGTGTTTAGACTCCTTAAGAGTCCCAGACACGCAGTTCCATCAGTCTGTCGTGACCCGAGACATCTCTGGACTGAAGAGTCAGTACTACGGTTTCTACAGCCCTTTGGTGCCAGAGGTCATCCGACCTCTCTGACCTTTGGATCCACGAGGAGGGTCTCCAGAACGGGTGAAGTAGACACACAGATAGCGTCTGATGTGTTTTTGATAATAATCAACTTCATAGCTTAATGCAAACCAAATTTTTTTACACCCAGAAGTCAGCTCTCCTAGATACGGAAGTTCTGATATCGCATTCACACATAGGCACCATACACTACACCTGCTCCATCTAGATCCATCCACTCACAGTAAATGTTAGTTAACATGTCATGTTTTAATTGTTTTAAAAATAAATTCTTACTTTTATAAACCTGACTCTTTCCTAAATCAAAACGAAGTTTACAATCCCTGAATAAAGCAAAGAATCCTAGAATCTTCTGATTAAACACAGTAAAGACCAAGCAGGTCGATACCCTATGTTTATATAGAGTATCACAGCTTATTGGTCAGAAGTAGAAGTAATATATATTCAGCTCTTAAAACACTCAATTTATCAATCCCTACACCAAGAAATGATACAAAGCAAAGGACGTGATATCCATGAATGCACAAAACTGACAAAAACTGAAGAAATCAAATAAGAGAATTTTAGATTTTTTTTTCCTTGTCAGTAAAAAAAATTATAAAATTTCAGCTCCTGACATTTTTATTGA